AACCTGGAGAGGGTCCAGAGAAGGGCCATTTGTATGGTTAAGGGCTTGCAGGCCAAGCCCTATGAGGAGAGACTGGGGCACCTGGACCTCTTCAGCCTCCGCAAGAGAAGGTTGAGAGGCGACCTTGTGGCTGCCTATAAGTTCATCATGGGGGCACAGAAGGGAATTGGTGAGGCTCTACTCACCAAGGCGCCCCTGGGGGTTGCAAGAAATAATGGCCATAAGCTAGCTGAGAGCAGATTTAGACTGGACATTAGGAAGAACTTCTTCACAGTTCGAGTGGCCAAGGTCTGGAATGGGCTCCCAAGGGAGGTGGTGCTCTCCCCTACCTCTTTCCTGCCTATGTAGGGGGTCGGACTCGATGATCTATTGAGGTCCCTTCCGACCCTAACATCTATGAATCTGAAAGGGATATACATTTAATGCTAATGAAAACAGGACTGAAGAAACGACATCTTTTGATTATTTTTGCCTAGTTGTGTTTTTTTTATACATAATATATGATATAGCAAATTAATGCATATTCTAATACAATTATAGTTGTTTTTGTTTTGATCTTAAATGGAATAATGTAGCCCTAGTCCCCTAAAGCTTATAGTTTATTTTTTGACTTGGAAAATAATGTGTTTTGTTTTATGTGAAGATGCAGCACACCATTTGTACCCTTCTTTTCAAAATCTTAGGTAGGGCCATGTTCACACTCGCCCTGTCTTAGACCAGTACCACCTCCTGTCATCTCATGCAACAACATTTATAAATATATACCCCACCCTGAGCTGAATGCCTGTTGACAACTGTGCTGAGCCTGCCTGTTTGTATCTAGCCCCTTCAGACCCCAGGCCAATTAAATTACTTAAATAAAATAGTGTTTTCATTTTCTTATCCCCTTTACCTTTAATATGACTTAGATGAAGACCACACTGCTCATGTAGGGATGCCAGGATCACGAAATTGGGATAAATGACTTCTGAAATCTCTTTAAATCAGAAGAGACCATTTAAAGTATTTTCCTCCTCTTAACCACACTGTAGCAGGGCACTAAGGTGCCTGCTACTGAGAGAGCCAGGAAGACTCCTGAGATGCTGGTTGCTGAGGCAACTAGAGGGAGCTAATGATCCGCACCTGCCTAGCCAGCTGACAAGAAGGGGCAGGGCCTGGCTCCTATATAAACCACAGGCAGGAGGCCAGGGGGCAAATCCCCACCAGCAGCCAAGGCAGAAGGAGCTCCCTGCCAGAGAGAAAAAAGAAAAAAAAAAAAAGCCGAGCCAGGATGCCAGAACAGTGTTGGTCACCACAGGGGGATAGAGAACCCTGGTAGGCCTGAGCGCAGTTTGGCTTGAGGCTTATGTTTGCGTTGTAGCTCAGGGG